AGCAGTCTCCGGTTCAGGAAGTAGCTGTGCCTGCTGAGGGCACACAAGGAGGGTGCAAGGGATTCGGGAAGTCCTGGGATTATGGCTCTCCCAGGGTGCCCTCCCCCTTTCCACCCAGGAACCCTGCTCACTGCCCATTCATCCCTCAGGGACCTAGAGTCCATATTGCCCCTCCAGACTGGGTAATATCTGGGCTACATGCCCCAACCTGGTCTTCCTGGTGTTTGTCCTTCCCTTACTGCAGTCCTGCTAACAAATTCTCCAGAACTGGCACATCTGTAGCGGGTGCTGAAGACGAACATATTAAGAGTTAGGGGACAGTGTCGGGGGAGACAGCATTAATGACCAAAATAGCTGTAACTCAGCAAGTCAAGTGGAATGGAGGAAGTCATTTCCTTCTTCATCTCTGAGCCCCTGGAGAGAAAAAACAGCCTCATTCGTTTGTAACTTAAAATTGTGCTTGGATTGGGGTTGCCATATTTAGCAAATAAAAATTCAGGACACCCAGCTAGATTTGAACTTTAGATAAACAAACAATCCATTTTCAGTATAAGTATGTCCCGAACATTACACGGGACACACTTATACTAAAAAAGTATTGGTTGTTTTTTTTTCTGAAATTCAGATTTAACTGAGTGTCTTCTATTTTGTCTGGCAACCCTAGGTTGGATACACCTGCTTGTTCAATAAAGAGAAAGAAAACATTAAATTTCCGGACCAATTGTTTGAAGTTATGTAATACAACTATGAACTGAATCTAGCTGTTTGTCTTTCACCAGGGATTGCATAATTGTACAGCCCCACAGTGTGATGATTTGTGATTAGAGAGTAAAGAGTATGCATTTCTATCCAGATTTCTTCCTGTTTGGACAAATTTAGCTCCAGTTTATTATAAAGTTCCATGACAACTCAGAAGAGAAGCGATGTGTTGAAGATCTCAAATATGAAATCAAACGGTACAGGGATTCTTGAAAAGGAAAGAGACCTATACTAAATGCAAACTAGTATTCATGACATGGCGCCCTAGTTGTGCAGTGGTTAAGCGTTCGACTGCTAATCAAAAGGTTGGCAGTTCGAATCCACCAGCCACTCCTTGGAAACCTTTAGAAAGCACAATAAAGAGGTAGCTACCAGTGAGTTACAAACTGGAGAGTTTGGATTAGCTGCCAGACATTTATGTGAGGTGGAAATAGGTCACTTTCAGAATATGAGCACATTGTCTTCAAAGTGAATAATTCATAGTCTGATGTAAATCTTCAAACTTGAATTGCCCAGTTTGTCTAGGTAAACTAGTCAAATGAACTAGGTAACTGCAAGATAACCATATTGTTTTGTAGCTTATGAGTAAACTCAAAAGCCAAAAGATAGGAGTTCCAAGCTTCCACTTAACAGATTTAGCCTTTCTAAGCCATAGTTTCATCATCTATTGAGAGAAAAAAATAATTTTGTCCTAGTACCTCAAGGGGGAAAAAAATCATCATAGATTTTTCAGTGTGCATACATATATGAATTTAACTAATGTGCTATATGTTATTTTGTATTTTGCTTCTTTCACCTAATTTTGAATTTTCATCTAGCAACACCATTCCTATATTTTTCCTTGTTGGTGCCTTCATGGTATTACATCATATTTGTATCTCAGAGTGAACTTCTCCCCAATTATTAAATATGTATCATGTTTCTAGTTTTTCTCTACTACAAAAAGTTTTCTAATATCTGTCTTCATACAAATTGTCTTTTTTTTTTTTTTTTTCTTTTGGTTTACTTCCTTGGGACAAGCTTCTTGGAACAAGTAGCCTTTTTACTTATTATCAGGTTGTACTTGAGGAGGGGTAGGGCCTGTGGATTCACCTGTTTGCCTCCCCTCCCCCACACTGTCTTTTGATCTTTTGATTTGTGCTAATAGAAAAGCAGCCATCGTTGTTTTATTTGAAACTCCTTATTTCTCAGGGTTGCTGAACGTTTTTCAATATCTTGTTTTCTAATTATATTTCAACATGTACGAATATTTGTCCAAGTCTCTCTCTTGTCTTAGCCTTTCTACATCATGAATAGTAGACTTGCATTTTCTTATTTGTTTTTATCACTCTGTTGCCCTTCCTTTCATCTTCGTTTTGTTACTATCCATCGTATAGAATATTTTTACTTTAATATAATTGAACCCATCCTTGTTGCTAATATCTTCTTCCACAGTTAAGATAGTCTATTTCATTTCCTTCTGGGTTTTTTATGGGAATGTTTAAAATGCTTAACTATACAACTCATCTGGAATTTATTGTGGCCTGTGAGAATAAAGAGGTGTGTTGAGAAAAGAAAATGACTTATAATAATAGCAATAAAAAAAAAAAAACTAATTGGAATCCAGCAGCACTAACTCATGGCCTTTAGGTCACTTAACCTCTTAAGACTCAGTGTCCTCTACTAGATTGAAGGCAGGGACTTTGTTTTATTTCTCTTTGTCTTCCCCACAACACTCAGCGAAGTACCTTGTGTATAAGATAAACGTCATGAAGTTTGGATTTAAGTTGTATTTTCTACATATTGCTATCAATTGTTCCACAGCGTTTTTTAAATAATGACTCATTTCCCATTTATTTGATTGCTTGATTGATCATTTAACAGCAAAATGCAGATTTGTTCCAGTGGCAGTACACCTGGGAGGCCCAGTACTCTTTTCAGAACATCATGAAACATGGAGATACTAAACTCAAAATAATGAAAAATAAAATCTGTTGCTAAATTAGACACCTGCTTGAACTAGACTTTGATATAGTATAGATACCATATGATCAAACACCAACAGTTTAAAAAAATTATAGGGGAAATATTTCAGTTGAGAAAATTCTATCCAGTAACTTAATTCCTTCTAAGAATCAGGAAAAGAAGAGCAAGTTCGTCCAGAGCAAAAGTTGAAAACTACATTTTATATTAAGCATTCCCAATTGAGACAATATAAATAAAGGCCTCTGATCAACTATAACGAGCCCTGGTTGCACAGTGGTTAAGACCTCAGCTGCTAACCAAAAGATGGGCAGTTCAAATCCACCAGCTGCTCCTTGGAAACCCTATGAGCAATTCTACTCTGTCCTATAGGATCGCTGTGAGTCGGAATCAACTCCACAGCAACAGTTTTGGTTTTTGGTTATATTAAGCATTACCAACCGAGACAATATAAATAAGGGCCTCTGATCAAGTATAAACACATTATGAAGTCAGGACCACTCCAACTGAACACAAGAGCTGTTTAAGACTAGCCCTTTGAGTTGTCAAGGATGGAATTCCAGAGCAGATGTCAGACCTTCAGTCCACTCTCACACCAACAACTTTACCTCTGAGGACTTCTGTTCATTAATCTATAAATCAGAAAGGACATAACACAAAAAGGCCTCATACCCCCATGTTCTACCATGTTACAGAATATGGACTCCACAAAGCAAACAGGAAGTGGGTATGTTGTATCAGAAAGAACCTATTCTAATACAGCATTCCTAGTACTCTGAGGATGATTTCAGCCTGAGTGGCTACGTCAGTGTTCATCCCGAAAGTGTTCCTGAGGACGTAAGACAGGGTTGTTGGTCTACAAGGCTATTGGAATCCTCTATAAGCAACATCATTCTGTTATGCTGGTTAATATTTAAGAAGACGTTTCTTATTAAGAAAGACAACATGCTGTAGTTAAAAAAACAAACAAACCAACAAAAAAACCAGGAGATCCCCCAACTGCCACTTGGTCTGGGATGAGCCATTCAATATTCATGGGCCTCAGTTTCTTCCTCTGAAAAAATAGACATTTAGAATGGACAGTTTCTAAAGTCTTGTATGGCTCTAATAGTGTTAGCCAAACATATGTCATGTCCTACTTCAAAAACAATCAAGATGCAAAACTTCATACTTATAGAAACTGATCATTTTTTATCCATAATGGTCCTTATTGAGGCATTCTTCACTTAGAAAATTCCCCAAAATGTATTTGAATAGCAGGAATCCCTGTTGAAGTTAAAATATGATTCCAATCACAAATCATCGGGTCTTTTTTATTAATAATTATTTTATAATACTAATTATTAGTTAATAATTAATCATTATATTAGCTTAATAAATAGCTTATGATTAGTTTCTCCATCGAGGAAAGTAATACCTCGTCTCTAGATTGTGACATTCATGAACAATACTCTATGGCAATTTTGTATGTGTGTGTGTGTGTGTGTTGGCAAGAAGTTGTTAGTGCTGAATTCTGATTCAGATGCAGTGCCAAAGGACAGCAGATTCCAGGAAAATCATCTGCTTGGAAGGGAAATGAATTATGAATTATGACTTCATCTGACACGTGGTTTCCTCATCTCCAGTGCACTCTTGGTCCAGGGTTCTGAAACCAGGACTAACATGGAGAGTAATCATCCTTTCCTTTCTTCTTACTACCGTCTCCAGAGATTGCATGGATCAATGGTATTGTTCAAAACATTTCAGTAAATACTAGTGCAAGCCATTTCCCCCCCAAAATTTATCCCACCAAAAGGTTTGCTTCCCATCTATCCAAGAGTGTGTGTGCTCCAGATGTCTTTGAACTCTCACTATAGAATGTGTTGCAAATGATCCCAGATTGCCTTCATTGTCCTAGCTGAGTTATCTGAGTAAGGGGGCATTCTCTACTCTACAAAGGCTGACCTCCAACCTCTACTTTACCAGTGTGGACAAACCAATTTGCTTTCTGTCACTCTTGACTGCCGATTAAGATAAGAAAGATGAAGGCAAAATTACAGACAGGGGCCCTTGTTTACACTTAGAAATTCCTGTGTGTGTATGTGTGTGTGTGTGTTTAGGACGACATTTCTAGTATTTAGCAGCTCAGTGCAAAGCTTCTAACAAATACCCGTTAAAATCGGACTCAGTTTCTACTATGCATTTATGTGAAGATGTAGATGGGGGATGTTGGTCAGTTTTTCCCTTGGTTTTCCCAATACCTGGGATGGTTTACAATAAGTTTTGCTATCTTACTGCAGGTTCAGAAAATGGTCTTGCACAGAAGCAGCGAACACCTCGCCGGCGATGTCAGCAGCCCAAAATGTTGAGTAGCCCTGAGGACACCATGTACTATAACCAGTTAAATGTGAGTTCAAAGTGGCTGTAAAGCTGTTTCACTGGCTTTGTTTCCAGTTAATAATTCTGTTATTAATACCTGTTCCAGCCCCTCCAGCCCCACCCCCACTCTCTTATGCTCTCGTCTCGAACATGTGCTTAGGCTCTTTATCTGTTGCTTTCATGTCAGGATGTCTGCCTTCATGGTGAATAATTGATGTGGTTTATCAAAGACGAGCAAGATGCATGCTTCATCAGGCTCACTTGAGCCCTTTGATCAAAAAAATTATGCTGTGACTTCTGATATTATCAGCATCTGCTTGCATTCAACACAAAATCACTTTGAATTAAAAATTAACGACTTGCTGCTTTGCTTTAACTGTGTGTTCTTGGCCCTCTCCACAGGGAACTCTAGAATATCAAGGGAGCAAGAGGAAGCCAAGAAAACTTGGGTAAATATCTGTCTTCTTAGTTCTAAGCAACTGTAAACAGAAGGGGTCCTTTGTGATATTACAGAAAATGCAAAACTTTCCAGAGAGGCTTCTAAAAACATGCAATCAGGATATTGCCGCCATTATTGATATGGGAAACTACTTTTCACAGTAGCTAGTATACAAAATTTGAATCTGTTCTTTCCAAAAAGGCTGAAATGGTCACCTAAGGGCAAATGTTACTTTTCGTAATTATCCCAGGGAAATGGACTTTCTTCATATTTGGAGACAGGGTCATGGGTAGTATAAAACTCTCCTTCCACAAATAAAAACACTCCACGAAGTGCCAATAGGCCACTTCCCCCACATTCTCCTCCCCTGGGCCTTAAACATACACAAAGAAAAACCTCCCCCATGGCTAGACGGAGGATAGTAAGGAGTTTGTAGCTCATCTGATTCTTGGCATCTTGATTTGGAATAGTAATGAAGTAGATAATTGGTACCAGTTTGAGAACTGGGGGAGGTCATGAGGGTTACTTTCTCATCTAGAGGGAACCAGAGAGAGACAGACAATTTGTTTCACATAAATCAAGTTACAATGTGATCTCAACTTCCAGAACCACTAAGTTGGGCCCGTTATCAGTGTGTGATCCAGAGGCGAAAGGCTTTGTGGGTCAGACCCCAGTGCCTCTGTATTGGGAGATCCTGAGCTACCCTAAGTCGTCCTTCCTCTCTAGTGTTGGGACCATCCCTGTTCCAACCACTAAAGTAGCTTAGTCACCCCAGTGATAACTCTGACGTTGTTTTGTTTTTCCATTGAAACACTTTTTTTTTTTTTGCAGCCAAGTCAAAGTGCTCGATGGGGAGGATGAATATTACAAATCTCTGTCACCTGTGGACTCTGTCCCTGAGGAAGAGAGCTCAGCCCACCCTTTCTTTTTCTCCTCATCCTTAAAAGGAGAATCTTTGGCTCAGCACTGAGCTGTACTTCCTGCCCCCCAAACTGTCCAGGGTAAAAACAATCATGGTAATTGACTGTCCTTTATTAAGAAAGTACTGAAATGGGGTTAGAGCTTCCTTCACAGTCAGCTTCTTTCGACGCACTGTGCCTAAGCCTCACTGAACAAGTCGAAGATTCCTAACCATTTTCTCATACCTCTATCACCCTCTCACATCTGCAGTGCAGCCTGAGCTGGGCTGTTCCTCCTTTTCTCATCCCATGGGTCCCTGTGGGATGCTGAGCACACCTCCATTTCAGTAATAACTGTCATTCATGCTCCCAACATCTAAGAGAGAACAAACAAGCTTACCATAGCCCAGTCATGAACGCTGATAATATTTGCTTTTTTTCCCCACTAAGTCACTTTTCAATTCATGCAGAATCTACCCTAGTGGGAATCCAGGAGTTCATTTCCTCCTCTCCTCTTTACTACACCCTTGCTGGTCTTTTCTAACCTTCTCACCTTTCCCAGGGTCAAGCCTCCATTCCCAGGTTCCCCAGACTAGAGGAGTGCCCCCAGAGTCTCTTAAACCAGTTGCCATTGAGTCTACTCCCACTCATGGCAAACTCCTGTGGTCTCAGAGTAGAACTGTGCTCCATAGGGTTTTCAATGGCTGATTTTTCAGAGGTAGATCAACAGGCCTTTCTTCTGAGGTACCTCTGGGTGGACTTGAACTGCCAACGTTTCAGTTAGTAACTGAGCACATTAACTTTTGCACCACCCAGTGACTCCTAAGGTCTGTTAACACCAAAAAAAAAAAAAACAAACCCACTGCTGTCAAGTCAATTCTGACTCACAGTGACACTATATGACAGAGGAGAACTGCCCCATAGGGTTTCCAAGGCTGTAATTTTTACGGAAGCAGACTGCCACAGAGCAGCTGGTGGGTTCGAACCACTCACCTCGCAGCAGCCCAGCGCTTTAACCACTGCACTACCAGAGCTCTTTAAGGTCTCTTAAAAAACCCAAAACCAAATCCAAAGCCATTGAGTCAATTCCAACTCATAGTGACCCTATAGGACAGAGTAGAATTGCCTCATAGGGTTTCCAAGCAGCTACTGGTGGATTCCAACTGCAAACCTTTTGGTTAGCAGCCTGAGCTCTTCACCACTGCACCACCAGGACTCCTTAGGGTCTCTTAGGACAGAATACTTTCCTTTGTTTAGGCAGATAGGCCTAAATCTTTCAGATTCTTTCTACAAAGCAAAGAAACCTCTATCACACTAATTATTCTGCTGATAAAGCCTTTGCCTCTGTATTCCACCTTGCCAAGACACCCCCATCCCCTTAGTGAGAAGAAAGGAGTGAGAGGGAAAGAAAATTTGGAGCTATCAAAGAGTCCATATCATGTTGTTTTGTAACCTTCCATTCACTATCTGCTGTCTTCCACTAGGCTATGAGTGGCTGTAGAGGAAAGACTTTACCTTGTCCATCTTTATGTGCTGGGAGCCTAGCACAGTGCCTGGCACATAGTGGACACCCAATAAATGCAAAATGAATGGAGAGACTTCACTTAGTTACACAAACATATGTGACAGGAAAGTTACTTTCAATTATATGTTATACATAATTAATCATTTTTCTAAAAGGATAAGCTCTAACTTTTCACTCAAGGTTGGGCTAGTCCTATTGTAATGATGTTATACCGTCTATTATAATACACAGTATGATTCACTACAACAAACTTTTTTGAGCAACTACTTTATACAAAACAATATGTGAGATTGCTGTGTGATGTAAAAAAAAAAAAAAAAAAAAACCTGCAAGACCCTTTCTCTAGAAGAGATGTTCTCAACATATTTCTTACTTTAAAATATCTGGCAGACAGTACACATGAGAGTACCCAGATTTTGAGAAAAATAAACTTGAGGAAACATTAAAAATATTGTTATTGGAGTTTTAAAGGAGAAGGTATTAATAAGTATTTTATAAACATATATGATGAAATGAGGCATTTAAAGATCTCAGAAATTGTACTTCTACAAGAAAAAGAGAGATATAGCCAAATATTCAGCAGTTAAACTTTTTCAAACTGCATCTTGATTTTTTTTCCCACATCTACACCCAAAGGTAATATTTATAAGGCATGCAAGTTGAGCAGAAGCACAGCTGATCTTCATTTTATTGTTAAAAAATAATGCCTAGCATATACATTTTAACATGTTGTTATTAATATAAAAGTATTATTAGAAATTTCACTTTTATCATTGTCTCCTTTTGATTTGATATTAGCTGCTTTTCTCAAACTGTTGAATGGAAATGTTCATAATTGCATCCTTGTCTGTGTACAATGTAAACGTATACTTGCCTTCTTTCTAATTAAATGTATCTAAGTAAAAGTTAAAAAGGAAATAAAAGTAATTATAAACTCATTACTTAGGAACTCTGAAATCATGTGTAATGTTCACAGCTCTAGCCTCTAACAGTGCTTTAGAAACTGTGTTCACCTTCAGCTGCAGCACAGATAAGAGAAAGACTCTAGACAATTATTCTTGTGCTAGCCATAATGCCATAAACTCAAGAAAGCAATTCCTAAATCAAGTAGATGAGAATGATGCAGCCTGGACTCTCCTAAATGTCTTATTAGATTTCTCAAAGTAATATGCACATGGCAAAAATAAAACAAAAAATCAGATAGTCCAGGGGGTGTGTAATGGAAAGCAGTCTTCTCCACTCCTCTACCCTAGTCCCTCCCCCAGAAGCAACTTTTTTTTGTTTTTTCTAATTCTACTCTTCTCTGAATAATTTGCTTCTACCTCTTTTATCATTTTAGATGCTATCTACTCTTTCCCTCTCTTAAAGATCTGGATTTACCTCCATCCCCCTCCCCTCTCTCTTACTCCTCCTAGCGCTTAGTTTTTTTTAATACAGACAACTTCACAAGTTTTTATGTCATCCTTGTGCAGGGGCCATGCTAATCTTCTCTGTATCTTCCCAATCTTAGTAACTGTGATGTGGAAGTGAGCACCAGTACTTACAGTTACATTGTATTTAAATCTTTTGTTGATTACATTTTAAACTTTAAATGGTGTAATTAAAAATTTATTTCTTGTACCATTGACTTTAGATAGTATCTCTGTGAGGACAGTTGATATGAAGAAAACCAACAGCCTGAAAGATAATGTTAAGATACCAGAATAACTGACCTGCAGAAAACAGAAATAGTTTTGGGAATAGAACATTTTTTTAAAAGGCTCCACTGCAGACCCTTGGTGTTAATACTCTGAGCTGCTGCTGCCTGCATTTTGGTTCATCTACAGATATGTCTCCATCCACTTTTTAAACTTTGTTTAAACAGACAGAAAATGTCACAAATCAAAAGATTCAGCTCAATAAAGTATCAGAAAGTAAACATTCTTGTAACTGCCACTCCAGTCAAGAAAGAGCATTGCCAGAACCCTAGAAGCAACCCCCCATACACCTTCCCATCACTATCACTCTGTCCTACCTCCCCAAGGGTAAACGCTGTCATGAGTTTTATTGTGAAAACTTCCTTGACTTACTTTATAGTTTTACCACTTAAGCATGTATCTCTGAACATTATGTAAAGTTCCTCCTTGGGAACTTTATAAAAATGAAATTATGTAGTAAATAATTTTTTGTAGTCTTGCCTCTTTCAATGTTGTATTTGTGGGATTCATCTCTGATGTGGCATGCAAATGTGGTTCATTCATTTTCATGACTTGTGTAGTATTCCAGTATATAAATGTGCCATAATTGATTTAGCTATTCTACTTTTGATGGGCAAATTTGAGTAATTTCCAATTTGGAGCTATTTTGGAAATCTGCACCTGTCTCTTGGTGTATATTTGCATGCTTTTCTGTTGGCTATACCTACAATTAGATTTGCCGGGTCATAAGCTATACTTATCTTCAACTTCAGTAGATAATGCCAAACTGTTTTCCAAAGTGGTTATACCAATTTACAATTCCACCAGTGGTGTAAGAGAGGTCACATTGTTCTGCATTTTCACTAACACTTGCTATTATCAGTCTTCTTCATATGTGTACTCTGGTGGGTATGGTGTAGACTCCAATTGTGGTTATAAGCTTACATTGTTGTTGTTATTAGGTCCTGTCGAGTTGGTTCCAACTCATAGTGACCCTATGTACAACAGAACAAAAGACTGCTGGTTCTGCGCCATTCTCACAATCATTGTTATGCTTGAGCCCATCATTGCAGCCACTGTCAATCAGTCTCATTGACGGTCTTCCTCTTTGTTCTTCTTCAGGGACTGTTCCCTCCTGATAACATGCCTAAAGTACATGAGACAAAGTCTCACCATCCTCACTTTTTAAAGAGTATCCTGGCAGTACTTCTTCCAAGATAGACTTGTTCGTTCTTCTGGGAGTCCGTGGTATATTCAACATTCTTCACCAACACCATAATTTAAAGGCATCAATTCTTCTTTGGTCTTCCTTATTCATTGTCCAGCTTTCGCATGTGTATGAGGTGACCAAAAATACCATGGCTTGGGTTAAGCACACCTTAGTCCTCAAAGTGAGGACTAAACACAAAGTGCTTTTTAACACTTTAAAGAGGTCTTTTGCAGCAGATTTGCCCAATGCAATACATCGTTTGATTTCTTGACTGCTGCTTCTATGGGCATTGACTGTGGATCCAAGTAAAATGAAATCCTTGATAACGTCATCTTTTCTCCATTTATCATGATTTGCTCATTGGTCCAGTCGTGAGGACTTTTGATTTCTTTATGTCGAGGTGTAATGCATATTAAAGGCTGTAATCATTGATCTTCATTAGTAAGTGCTTCAAGTCCTCTTCATTTTCAGCAAGCAGGGTTGTGTCATCTGCATATCACAAATTGTTAACAAGTCTGATACCTCCTTCTTCATATAGCCCCGCAGCTCAGATTATTTGCTCAGCATACAGATTGAATAAGTATGGTGAAAGGATACAACCCTGATGCACACCTTTCTTGATTTTAAACCATGCAGTATCTCCTTGCTCTGTTTGAACGACTGCCTCTTAATCTATGTACAGGTTCCTCATGAGCACAATTAAGTGTTCTAGAAATCCCATTCTTAACAATGTTATCCATAATTTGTTATGATCCACACAGTCAAATGCCTTTGCGTAGTCAGTAAAACACAAGTAAACATCTTTTTCGTATTCTCTGCTTTCAACCAAGATCCATCCAACATCAGCAATGGTATCTGTCATTCCACGTCCTCTTCTGAATCCAGCTTGAATTTCTGGCAGTTCCCTGCCAATGTACTGCTGCAACAGCTTTTGAATGATCTTCAGCAAAATTTTAGCTTACATATCCCTGATTAATAATGTTACTGAGTACATTTTTATGTGTTTATTGGAAATTTTGGATATCTTTTATGACATGTTCATTTTTAATTGGATTAATTCTTTTTTTTTCTTTGATTTGAAGAAAAGTACTAGGTAGTCTTTGTTAGGTTTATGTGTTACAAATGTCTTCTCCCACTAGGTAGCTTGCTCTTTCATTCTCTTAAGTGGCTTTTGATTCTTTTAAAAAAGTTGTTATTTTAACATAGTATAATTTGTCAGTCTTACTCTGGTGGCACAATGGTTAAACACTCAGCTGCTAACCCAAAGGTTGGCAGCTTGAACCCACCCAACAGCTCCACAGGAGAAAGGCCTGGCAATAAGCTCCCATTACACAGCCTAGAAAACCCTATGGGGGCAGTAATACTCTGTCACATGAGGTCGCTAGGAGTCGAAATTGACTAGACAGCCCTTAACAACAACAATCCTTTATAACTAGTGCTTTTTTTGTTGCCTGTTTGAGAAATATTTTCCTACCCAAAGTTATTAAAATATTTGGCTGTAGAATCTTCTAAAGTGTTATTGTTTTGCCTTTCACATTTAGATCTAGAACCCACCCAGAATTGATTTTGTGAATGCTGTGCAGTAGGGGCCAACTTTTTATGTTTTCTATATGAATATTCAACTCTCCAGCCCCATTTAATGAAAAGACCATCCTCCTCTTACTGCTCTAAAATGCTAGCCTTTACATAAATCAATTATTCATTGGTCTAGTTCCAGATTCTCTTTTCTGTTCCATTGATTTGTTTGTTTGTCCTTTTCTTAAGTACTGTATCTTTATACTAGATGTTGGTATATGACAGAGCAAGTCCTCCAATACTATTTTTCTTTTTTTCAAGAAAACCTTGGTTAATCTAGGTCCTTTCCATATGCATATTTTGGAATTAAACAACCAAGTTCTTAAAAAAAAAACAAAAAAATGTTGGGATGTTGTTAAAATTACCTTGAATCTATAAATCAATTTGGAAGAAACTGAATCTTTCCAATATTGAATTTTTCAATCCATGAATATGGTATAGCCCTCAATTTATTTAATTAGTCTTTTTTTTCCAATAATGACTTATAGTTGTATGTGAAAAGTTTCGCACATATTTTGTTAGTTTTAGTCCTATATACCATATATAACTTTATGGTATTTAAATTTTTATTTTCTATTTTTTGCTGTTATATGGAAATGTGATTGATTTTTTGCATTTTGAGGTCTAGCAGCTTTGCTAAATTTACTCATTATCATTAGCTCATCTACAAATAACTATAGATTTATTTCTTCCTTTTTAATCTTTATGCTTTTTGTTTCTTATCTTATGCCTGTACCAGTTAACTATAGTTGCATTGCAAACCACTCCAAAACTCAGTGGCTTTAAAAAACCAACCACATCTTTTGTAAAAATAGAATAACAAACATAACAACAAATGCACAAATAGAAGAAGAGTCTAATCTCCAAATTTTATAGAAAACATCAACGCTCAACAACAAAAAGACAAACAACCTAATTATAAAATGGACAAAGGACATGAACAGAGCCTTTGCCAAAGAAGATATCTAAGCAGCCAACAAACACATGAAAAGCTGCTCATGATCATTACCCATTAGAGAGATACAAATCAAAACTGCAATGAGATGCCATCTCACCCCAACTAAAATGTCACTGATTAAAAAAACCGATAACAACAAATGTTGGTGAGGTTGTGGTGAGGTAGGACTGTAAATGATACAACCACTATGGAAAATGGCATGGCACTTCCTCAAAAAACTAGAAGTAGATCTACTCTCCAAACCAGCAATCCCACTCCTAGGGATATACCCTAGAGACCTTTTGATTAGTAGCTGGGCTCTTAACCACTATGCCACCAGGGCTCCTTTGATTGATTAGCTATTACTTCTTTCCTAATTTTTTTTTTCACTAGAGAAAATACCCCGCAAGGTATTTTCATAAGCATGCTATGCTAATTTTTTTACAGCAACATGTGAAAAAGAATTGGCAAGCAGTACTTATGAAAATATCTTGCAGGGGGAGGGCACAGCTGGCAAACAAACATAGAAAGCATGCATTATTTGCGTAAAAATACAGTAGTCTAAGAAAACAAATTTTTGGTTTGTTAATCCTTTTTATCACTTATTTGTTTCCTATTTCATTAACTTTTGCTCCTGTCCTAATAGTGTCCTTCCTTTGACTGTCTTTAGTTTAATTTGCTGTTATTTTTCTATCTTCTTGTGATTTTAAGCCTCCCTTTCTAATATATACATTTAAGGCTATAAATTTCCCCCTAAGTGTGGCATTAGCTGTAAGCCACAATGCTTTTATTATCATTTAGTTCAAAATGTTTTCGAATATCCATTATGATTCTTATTTTGACCCATGAGGTTTTTAGAAGTTTATTTATTATTTCTAAACATAGGGATTTTTCTCTTTGTGTTATTGAGTTATAGCTTAATTGTATTATGGTCAGAAAACAAATTCAGTATGATTTCAAGCCTTTGAAATCTGTTGATAGTTTATGGTCTAGCATATTATACATGTTTATAAATATTCTATAAGTACTTAAAAATTATATATATTTTACAGTCCTGTCACTTGTCCATCAGGTCAAGTTTATTGTCAAATCTTCTCCATACTTACTGACTTTTTACTGCTTTTTCTATCAGTTAT